ATGCACGCTGGACCGACATACTGTTATGCCAATAAAGCGCTCGGGATGGACCCGTACTCGCGCTGTCAATTATCAGGTTTTTAGTCGTCGAAACTCGCGTAGTCCTCAAAGAAGATGAAGCAGCACGTCGGCGGCTCGAGCATCGGATATCCCTTTTACGAGAGGCGGACAGGTCCGTTATTCATTCCCCGACTCGTACGATACCAACACGTACGAAGTACCACCTTGCCGGAAGTACGCGCTTTCAGTCGCCGGGCATTTGTTGTCATAAATTGTTAACCGCGTCATTACTCGCGCGGACGTCGTAAATAAAACAATGTTGAAGTTGTACAAATCAATTTCGGAATTTTCAATAGGCGTTTCGAGGCACGACAGGTAAGGAGGACTCGCGAGATTAGACAGCTCTTTTGCGAGAAATGTATACTTCGTTACGCCCCTATAAATTGATATATCCGTGTCACACAGTGTCGCGTAATCAGTTTCCGCTCTTTAAACCGCATGCTCGTTCGCTCGCACGCACGCACGCACGCACGCACGCACGCACGCACGCACGCACGACGGTTATCGAACTGCGGATTTGCATAATGTGCAATGCGCGACGTGTGATCAAATTAGCTGCGCGTGCCGATGACGACGAGCGTTAAAATATCACGCTTAATCTCTCTGTATGCAAATTTGAGCCGCCGAGCCGATTCTAAGCGGCGGCGGTGATGCGCCTCTTCGCGGAAAGTCGGTCGATCCGACTAGCTCCAATCTGATTAGCGAACGCGAACGGTGAGCAAAACCGGGACACGGTATCCACGACGCGAACTTCGCCCACGGTCTCCTTTGCCGGTCGGTTGTATATAAGAAGTTTGTTCCCAGGTGAAGGTAATCATATTCCGCGTTCCACGGTAATGGTGAACGAACGCAGCCTCCGGGCTGTAACGGAACCTCTGCCACTAGCCTGCACCCCGGCCTCTGTGTCAGACCCGTGGGTGCACCTTAACTTAGCTGCACCTCTATACCCTCTCTAAGCCAAACTCCTATGTTGCCGCAATTATCGCACGGCCGGCTGTTATCTCGATAACCAATGGCTCCCTCCTCCACGGTCGTTATCGTTACTATCTTGTTCGTAAGCGCGGACAAGGCGGACTAGCCTCTGAACCTGACCTGACCTCGTGACCAGCTGCGGCCGGATTGGCACCGGCCGGTAATACACAACGCGAACGCTAATAACAATTAATTTGCTGCTATCCACAATTCAATGAATACTGCCTCATCGGCGACTGGAAACCACACGTGAAAAGCGATCCCGTTGCGGTTGCAGGAGCTCGATAGCGATCGTTGTTATTACATCGGCATGATGATTACCTCAGCGTGAACGAGTTCGAGTAATATGCTTGCGCGTTAATCACTCGCGAGATAATCACGACGCATTAATTAGTGCATTAATTAGAGCGAAGGCGTTTGCCTTACTTCGCGTTTAACGCACTGCTCGCTCTTGTTGTTATTACCGAGAGTGATATCACTCGTTACACTGGTCCAAGATAATTTATCGTGAGCATGAAAGTAAAATCAGGTATGCTTTTCTTCGTCTTGACTTTCTCGAATGCTATTCATTTTCATTTTTAACGCTACTCTCAAAATGACTTGGAGGATGCTACAATGATTCAGAGTGCTTCGAGAAATCGAAAGATGACTATTAGGACTGAGTTGAACACAAATTAAAGTAATTGTGACCTGCTTATGTTTGTTAAGTACATAGCTTTGAGAAGAATTAAAAAAAACATATACATTTCACATATATATATTTCTTGACTACAATTAATTTTTAAATAAAATTACTTAGCTCTTTAACATTTATGACTTTTATGATTAAATGAGAATTGATATATAAATATTCCAACAAAACGTTGGAGAAAAATTGTAATCTTTTTGAATTCATTGTACATCAAAGATATCACAGAAAATAGAAAAAAATATCTTTACATGTTTTGAAGAAATTTTACGTGTAACTGCGATAAATTATAATTGACAACTTAAAGAGGAGTGAGTCCCGTTACGGGCAGGCACTCGAGCCACGAGTTAAGAGGATCCGGAAAGTCGGTGGTATCCAGCGCGTGCATACGTAGCGCGTACAATCGGTGGTCGCCAGCGCGTGCTGCAACCGGAAGATGTCATCGCCGGCAATTACGACCGGGTCGAACGCAAATTTATCGGTGACAAACATGCCGCGCGCAGGCCGGACGCGACGCCGCCGTCTGCAACGATGCACTTGGATGCGCTTTATAAACGCGCGCGCACCCGAAGATACGGTGCCTTCCGTCGCGGCGCGGCCGTGCCGAGAGCGCAAGTGGAATTAGTCTCGGTTCGACGAACGCGCCTACTGCCGCTTGATTCTGAACGAGCAAGATGGAAAGTAATGCACCTTGCGACGAATCAGGGTGAATCGACGGGAATGCCGATCGTGCCGACGGAGAGGAAAAGAGGTAGAGTGAGAGACAGAGACACGGCTGGTGTCGGAATGAAGCCGGGCCAAATATTTCCATTCACAACGCATCACCACACGGGTGTGTCGTTTCTGGGTTGCGAACGTGGCCCACGCTCACGCAACGGACGTGAGATATGAGAGAATTGCGGCCTTATCGGGAGCCACTTCTCGGAAGAACAGACGGATTTAGTAAAAATTAAACAAAAAATACAATGGCTCTCTCTCTCTCTCTCTCTCTCTCTGTCGAATTATTAAATTCTATCTTAATATATCTGGAGACTGAAAACTTCATTTATTAAAATACGTAAAAGAGTCGATACTTGAATTATATTTCGAATTATTTGCGACAGATTTAGATAACTTTAAAACTGTATATGTATTCATACGGCATGTAAGCGAAATGAAATATGAATCTGGACCAAATTTAAAATTTCTGCAGATTTATAAATGTTCTGCAGGTCGCAATTTGAGGAAGCTGCGACAACTTTTCCGAGTCTATCTCGTTTGTAAAGTTCGCGGAGGAGTTCGCACTGTCGCAATATTCACGCGATCCGATCCTGGCACTCGGCTGAGGCTATAGAGATGCGTGCGCGTATTTAGCGGTATGCACTCGTACCCATTCACCGAATTCCCCTGTTCAATAGGCCGTTCCATGAATACGCAATGACGTAAGGGTCCCCGTTGCTTCGTCGGATAGTCTCAACGCATTGGGGGTTCGCAACGGAGTCCGCAACGTCCATATCGTGGCACGGTTCATCGTGCAGAAATATTTCGCGGACTTATCCATTTGTGTGAGATTCATTACGATCGGCCGGGATGTAATTTACTGTGCGGCTAGCATGAAACGGACGTTAACGAGCGAGCGCGAGTTTAGGCGTCGCGACTCTCACGCGTTGCTCCTTCTTCTTCTTCTTCTTCTACTTCTCTTCTCTTCCTCCTCCTTCTCTGGACTACAATGAGCTGCCGGTGCATGTTGCCGGGGGAAGAGTGGCAGAAGAGGAAATATACGTAGAGGAAAAGATGAAGTCGACAGGTAGAAGAGAAACTACCTACGCTCTCTCGTGCGCGCTCCTCTCTTTTATCTCGGTACCGCTTTGTATTAGGCCGCTGTCGCACGGTTGGTATGCGCCGCCGGCTTCGCCAAAGTCCTCCTTTTCTTCCTGCCCGGGGATTCTTCTTATTTTTCCTCCTCCTTCTCCTCCTCCTCCTCCTCTTTCTCCTTCTCCTCCTCCTTTTCTGCCTCTTCGTCCTCTTTCTCCTCTTTTATCAAGTTTGCCAGCTAAGTCAGCGCTTCTAAGTAATTTCTTTCAAGAACCCGCAGATACGATCATCGCTTCCTCCTTTCATCCCTTCATATCAGAAAAGAGAAATGCGCTGACATCCAATTTTATAACACTCATTTGAAAATTAAATTTTTATTTCGAATAAAATTGTTTACTCGTGCTTTTTCGCGCGCCTTTTTCCTTATCGGGGAACGAGGCCTGCACCATCCCGCTGGCCATCGAAGGAGGTTGAGCACACAGCGGGCTCGTGCAAACACACGTGCTCATTCCCACGCACCCACGCCTCTCATAGCCGGCTCACGCTCCAAGTAGACAGACGAATCGCATTTAGCCTCCCGCAGCGACGCGAATGCGTCAAATGTTTTCTCGCGTCGCGAATTTCGCGTCTTGACACCGCGTGATACATTGTATACCTTAAGGCTAATTCTACCAACACCGATTAATTCTCTCCATAGCCGTTTAACCGATTAACTCTGGTTCTTTTTTGACTAACTATCTTCCTCGACTATAATACGGACGATGATAGATAATTATGAGTACATTATTGTATACTTTATGTAGCTTATATTACGTGCTCATTTGCATAATTAAATGCTTAAATGTGTTATACTTAGCCGCGAGTATAGCGTACAGGTTCACGAGGAACGATCGGTCAAAGTGCAGAGGTGCGTCTGGCTTGGTTACCAGACGCGATCACTACGTCCATCCAGCTGTCATTCTGTCAGATCAAGTCAGGACAAGAGTTGCGTGGTAGAATGTCACGTGACGAGATAGATACGACTTTAAATCACTTCACGATGGAATAGATAAGCGTACAATGGCTCGTTATACTTTCGCGCATATGCAGACAACGCGAAAAAATTCTCAAAGCCGTCTGAGTAGATTTGAATCCAAGTCAAGCAATCTGGAACGGATTGCTATTTATGATAGTAAGATAGAATGATCGATAAAAGGTGCCACTCATGTTTACGTTACGAGTATTTCATATATCATTTATTGACAACCGATGATTATGAACAATCGATGAAATAATTATATGTAGATGAAGACAGAGAGAATGTTCCTCGATATAAGCATCAAGTAACTTTAAGTAAAGATTGGAGTTGAAATTTCATAAAGATTAAATTAGCTTTTAGTAGGGCTTTTACATACTTTGCGTGCATAGCCACACACAAGACACCAAAGCTTGGTTTATGTGCGCACGGATAATATAAGCTAACGAAAGCATCATTTATGTGTTGCAGGGTACGGAAGAAGAGTGCCGACATGTCGGCGTTGAACGCCGCGCTTTGTAGACGCGGGATAATCCTCTGGCTGGCCGCCGTCCTACTGCTGGCGTCACGATCCACGCATTCTGGTGAGTTTTTGCAGAAATGCCTCGGTACTTCTAGTTCCCTTTCTTTCGTTTGGCTTCAACGCCTCGGACACGCTTGAGCCGCCGTACAAAACGTGAGTCATTTATTTGATAGAGAGACCGTGAACGCGCGCGGACTCCCACGAGGAAATAAGAGGTAGACGGACAAGAAATATTTTCGCTCGCCCGAGAAAACGCGATCGGATTATTTCTGCTTGTGGCTTGCTCGAGGCCAGATTCAGTACTCCATCGGATCGTCCATAAATGCAGCAAAATACGACGGAATTATAAAAAAAAAAAAAAAAGAAAAAGAAAACGTTTTTGTTTACCACCGATGTTGTGTTTACGCTTTTTATACTTTGCGGATCGCTGACAAGAACTTGAATATCGCGGTAATAGAGATCAAAGCAAGAGAAAGAGAGAGAGAGAGAAAGAGAGAGAATAAAAGTAATCTCGGATGAAAATGAGAAAAGTCTTTCATAACTCGAGTATGTTTTATTGCATTTATAATGGAATCTGATTTCTTTTGAAAGTCAGAAGAAGAGTGATTCTATTAAAGTACGCGTCTCGCGATAGATAGAATTGAACGCCGCGTCATTTTTTGAGATTACACAATAGCGAGGCAAGGCTTAAATCGGGAATGCGTATACGCTGTGAGTTGAAATTGTTTTTTTGAAAACCAGAATTGAGAGACGAGACGATCCGAGACTTCCGTGATCGTTTCTCTTGTATCGTCTGGTGTGACTAACGCAGAGTCGGCCAGCCAATGTTTGAATGAGCGAGCCACGTTCTGTCAGGCCGTCGAACCTATCCGTGTGTCTCCCTTCCTCTCTGCCGGCGGGAAGAGCATTACCTCATAATGCTCACCTCTGGCATCGTGCCGGGACCCAAGGTGCTTTCCCATGGACCTGGCACACCATATTCGTTCTTCGATTCTCGGGTCGCCTTCGGGCGGCTGGTCGTCTCCTCGCTATCGTGAACCTCATTCCGCGAAGAATTCCTGCGAGCTGTTTTCCTTTACGTCAAGCAGGTTTCGAGCGATACGCTTGGACCCATCGAGTTCTGTATGAGTGAGTATCGATACCAGAAGAAAATGAGCCAGTTAAAACGGGAGAGAATTCAAATTGTTTCTCTGACACTCTCGTGTCAGGAATTATTTCCAGAAGGAAAAGAATATAAAAGAAAACGATAGATCTGCATTATCGTAAATTCGTAAAATGCACTTCAGCGCATCGTCGATGGAAAAAGGATTCGTCATTTTTGTAATTCGTTATTCGAGAAAGTAATTTCACATTTTGCGGTCGAGGAGCTACAAAGAAAACAAACCTATTTCGCGGCGTTCACGACGATCAATCGGTCGATCGATCGGCCGATAGAGAAGCGTTCTCGGAAAAGCACGATACTACGAACACGACGACGTGCAAAAACGTTGCATCGTCAATGAAGGCTTATTGAGGATGCGTCAGTTTTGCCTCTCCCCTTCATCAATCGGCCGTCGATGCTTCAGCGAAGAGCAGGTGTGGTTAAACGGACCGGGATCGATTGAATTCCGCAACTCACCCGGCGTATCTTCCCTCGCTCTTCTTATTTTTTTTTCGCTCTCTCGGGAATCGCCCAGCGATTCTATGACTCTCTATCGCGCGCACGCTCGTATCCTTTTTGCTTCTCGAACTTTTCTCGAGCGGGCAGCAAGGACGGTCGAGATCGACGCGTCCGATCACCGGCAATCCATCAGACGGCGGACAAGTTTTACTGGATTATGTATCTTCCCTGGGACGCAATGGGACGCATTTGCGAGACGCTTGCATTCAAAGGAAATCAGCAATATTACCTCAAGAGGCAACAGGTTTTCACTGTGAAAAAAGAGTTTACCTGTCGTATTGTACCATCATGCGTGTAGCAATAACTTTCTTCTCGGATCGGTTGTTTCGAGATTATCTCGAAATTGCTTAATATATCAGATTGCATTACGGCGAAAAATTACGAGCGACGCTTGCCCCTTGCGATTTCTTGCGTTTATATCAAATTGTTACATGTTTGTATAACCGTAATATCATTATTATATATGATTAGAGATATGCAGGCAGCAACCTTACGCTTTGATGATATATAAGTAATCGTCGGAATTTCTAGTCATAATCACTTAATTAGATCTTGACTGGAATTTAGCTTGATAGCTATTTGATCGATATAAATACCATTCGTGAGTTCCGTTAATTTTATATATCTTTTCAATTTTTCTTTTTCAAAATTCATATAAATTATGTCAGCATTGAAAAAGAAAAAAATCGGAATAAGCAAACGAAAAAAAAATAGGATAAGAAGATTTATTTCTTGTCGAAGATCTAATTTTGGGGTCTCACCTATAAATGATCCATGTCTGGTAGTGGAGGGAAAAGAAATCGATCGATTACGATTGTCCTCCACGATTGTCCTCCGCGTAGCGGTTTCTTCACGATTGCATCCGCACGTGATGCTGTGTAAATTCTGGTCAAACCTGTAAGCCCTGAGGAGCAATCAGTCGGCATGCTCGCATCGGGATGTCAGTGACCGCGTACCTCACCGTTCGCTACTTACGATCCACGTACCCACTGGAGTCGCGTCTGACCCCTGAGACGTTCCATATTTATGCTTAATGCTTGGCAAAGTGTCGTTATCGTCGAGCATCATCAAACTCTCTCGTGGCGAGCTCGTCGCGTCGCAGCGGAGAATCCGGATGGCACTGCACGCGGCACGGAACGCATAAAAATAAGCGCCAAGATATATGTGACGTGGGATCGCGTACAGTTACGCACGTATTAAATTTACTCGAGTATCTTGCGTGAGACGTAATTGTACGAGCCTAATCTATAAATCTACGCGGAGCACCTCTGCACGTCCGAAACTGACCGTTTTGGATCCTCTGAATTTCGCGCACATTAGGGTCAGATCATCCGCGACGCGTGAACCTATCGTGAACCTATCGTGAAATCTTGCACGAGAATGAAACGGCGAGGCTTTCAAAGCGATCTAATTCGTTTTTGATTCGTTTTTGATAGCGAGCGCGAATAAACTTCGCGCCGTCAATTCAGACGAGGAAGAGCTCTCGCGAGGTAAGAGGGTATAGAAAGGACCCGTTGTAACTGGCACGTCGTAAGAGGACTCCACTCCCTCGCCCTCGCATGTACTCTTCGGAGCTCTTCTCTCTTTCTCTGCCGTCTGTGTACCTTCTCGACTACTTACCGAGATGGTGAGGTCAGCGGCGGTCATCCGACGAAGGGTATAACGGAACGCGTGGGTGCAACGTCAGCGTGACACGGATTAAAATCGATCGCGTTTGTCTGTTTTGGAAAATGAGTGTTCCGCTTTCGCAAGGTGTAACTTAAGGGCGATATCCAGACATCTCCCTCCCCGACATTGCGTTCAACGTTCGCTAGATCTAATCGCACGTACGAAACATTCTCCGCGCAACGAAGTGAATCGCGGTTCAAAGATCTCGAGCCCCTTATCGGAAACGAGCGTTTCTTTCCTGGGCCGGGAATTATTCTCATTACCGGAGCTAACGGCGCGCGGATTCGTATCGTATAATGTAGGAAGTGGCAATGAACTCGATCCCGTGTGATTGGGGGGATATAATTTATGATTGTCCTCGTAAGGGACTCTCCACGCTAGAAACAGTGTGGCGCGTATTACGCCAGAACCGGTCGGTCAGGTTTCCACGGGCGCTACCTTCCCGATACCCGTGACATTGACATTAACATTCGCGCTGATACAAGCAAATGGCGTGATTTTTCCGCTTCTCTCCCGTTTTAATTTAAATTTGTTTCGACAGAGTGTTGCACGACGAGTAGACCAACTTCCGAATGGCTGTCAGTCTTCCGCGCGAGATGGATTTCTCGCCAAGGAAAGTTCCGTCATCGGGCATGATGAGTCTTTCATCGCGCATACTTACTCTCGCGTACACATACGTACACATACAAGGAAAATTATTCCATCTTTTTCATTAATGTACGAGAGAGGCGGTCTCGTCGTGAGCGCGCGAGGAAATCGCGACCTTGGAGAATGCATAATGCAGAATTTCGTGCACGCAATACGCCAGGGGCTGGCTGCGGTGCCAGGTGTTCATCGGAGCGTGCGCGGTTGATGGTAATGAACTTTCGCGAGGCAAGGCCGCCGGGAATGATTTCATAACGCGAGCGCAACAGCTCCGTGTTCTCCTGTTTCTCTGCGGCGTGTAACAGCATCGTTCGCGCGCGCACGATGAGCTCAGACGTGGAGAAAGACACGCGGGTCAGGTCGCGGCGGGAGGGAATCGAGAGGGTCGCCCTCGAAGCGAGAGCGAGACAATCGCGGGAGGGGAAACGACACACGGAGAGGAAACAGGAGAACTCGGGCGTACGTTGACTTACATAATGACTCCCCGCGACTCCTCGAGATATATACGTATGTATGTATGTACGTACGTGTGTATGCGTGTATAAGCGCGATCTTCTGTCCTCGATTACGAGCGAGGCGGCCGAAGAACGCATAAATCTCGCGCGCGGAAATTATATTCGAGGGAAGATGCGTTTATTGTTGATACCGATAAACTCCCACGTTGTCCTTTTTCTACGCGGCCAAGATTGATTTAAGGTCCACGTTGCGCGTACACCTTGAGAGAGGTCTGCCTTAGAGCGTACGCCTCGGCCGATGCACTTCCGCGCGCGATATGTTTTATTCGAAACTGCATTTTTGCATCCGCAAAACATTATCTCGCCACGTGAGATTTATTGGACAACTCTCACTGCGCTTCTTCCGAGAGGTAATTCGCGATCCGCGATCCTTTCGATTTCGAATGGATAAGAAATAAGTGTCAAAAACCGATCGGATCGAGATTCTCGTGCTTTAATACGATGCAATTTTCCGTTACCACAATCGAAATGCGTTGCGACTTTTTGTCAGCATCTCCCGGTCGTACGCGCTCAATGATCGTCCCGTTAGTCTGCCGACGGTAATTTATCGTTCACTGATGATCCGAAGAAGAAGTGAAGGAAATGCTTGCTTGTGCAAAAAGCTGTCTTTCGGTTTTTGGTGCGTATCGTCGTAATACTCGACGGATAATACCGTTCGAAAGACGCGACAAGTCTTCTAGTTGATTCTAGAAAAAAATCGAATCAATGGTTATAGCACCATAACATCTTACTTCCTCTTCCCAATTTTTTTCTTATAATACCTCCCATGATCACGTCACGGTATCGGACAAGCTTCTATTGTTCGGTAACAGTTCAATCGTCTTATTATACGTTTAATTATCGCTCATGTATATCGCTGCTCGTACGTTGAATGATCATATTGTGCAAGGGTGTCGTTGTAGTTAGCGCTCGCACAATGAAGATCACGTACGGAGATTACAATCGTGTACACGAAGCCTCGACACCTTGACCGTGGTCTCCGTGAAGGGAGGTGCGACGTAATAATTTAGTCTGACCATTGTGCGAGACAAGAATCGTCTCGGTAGGCCACGCGTACGTGATGGGTTCGTATAACGTGGAGGCACGCGGCTCCGACTGGCTCGTGGGACTGACGAGACACGACCAGTCCATTCAACCATCGTCGGATTTCCCAGTACAGTTCGGTTCACTGGAAGCCATCTGCATTGCGGAATGCTAATTCTCGAAAAACTCGCCTCCGTGTATAAAGATATATTGGGTGGACAGCGAGTTTCTTAAAAAAGACATGTCAAATACTTGATAAAATTCACATCGGAAATGCATTAATAAATTTTACCAAATAATATAATTTTTTTTCCGATAGACCATCTAGTTTTTAGCGAATATCTAAAAACGATATTTTTTCATCCGTAGTTTATATATATATTGCACGGATGACATTTGGAATCTCTTACATATTAAAAAGTTAAACGCGTTTTGAAAGATGAAAAATGGAGAATGAATCGGAGAAGCGTATAAAGAAGATTTATTTTGATTTCTAAAACATCTCG